AGCAAGATTGGGACGAAATCGCGGAGAAGCTAGTATTTGCTATTAATACTTCTCAAGACACTACGAGGAAGGAAACGCCGTTTTGCCTCGTTCATGGTTGGGGATGCGCAGCCGACGTTGCGGGCAATGTCGTCATCACTCAAACGAGGACTCGGCAAGCAGTCTGACGCACTGGCGTGGCGGCGTGAGATCAATCGACAACATGAGGTCGCCCTCACTATGGCCAAAAATTATCAGGCTGTAGAAAAGGAGCTAAGGGCAAAAAAGCATAATGATGCTCTGAGTCGACTGGAAAAAGCTGCTGTACCTCAACCAAGTGGAAACGAACACTCGGCGGACCCCCTAGAAGCTTCAGGAGAGATGGAAGATCCTGCAAGAGCTCCACCGAGATCTCTTTTTGAGATTGGAGTCGGGCGTGGTTGTACATGGAACGCGTCAAACCGGGCTTGACAAAGCAATTAGCTCACCGATGGCATGGACCTTTTCGGATCAAACGCAAGGTGGAAGAGTTTGCGTACGAGCTGGAACTGCCTGACCGAAGTGGGTATCGCTTCTACCCAGTAGTGCATGTGTCGAGACTCAAGGCTGTCAACGAGTTCAACAGTCGACCGAACACTCGGTTGGTACTTGACACGTCTAATGACGCAAGACTCGACTTCGATGAGGAACTACTGCCTGAAGACAGCTGGGAACCAGATCAAGTTGCCGGTAAATATGAGGTCGAGGCCATCCTCGACGACAGAACACCTCTGTCGACGAGCACGGAGCGTGCTGTACGCGAGTTCAAAGTCAAGTGGGTTGGCTATGAAGATACAACTTGGGAACCATCATCAAACTTGTCATGTGGAGGTCTGCTGTACGACTATTTGCGAGCCAAGAAGAGCGAGAATCGGCTGCAGATGGCGCAAGTGGCGGACGAAGACTAGCGTGACTGGATTACGTGTGAACTGTCCACAGGGCGATGCAACCTGTGGTAACAGACGAAAAACGTTACTGCAACAACAAATTGTATATGCATTTGAAGAACAACATGAACATGATTACGCTGTGGACGTGGATTAAGAATAAGAAAACATGAATGCCGACCGGGGAGCGACCACTGAAAACGAAACTTCGCTGGACCCCTCAACAGTTAGCTGAGATGCTGGAGAACGTCGTGGAACATGCAGCGAGGACATCATCGAAACCAACAGCAGTCTCGAGGCGAGTGGAGAGGAGGCGCAACGCTGAGCTGCACTTGGTGACGTGACATTGCAGTCAAGTACGGAATTATCGAGGTCATCATGTGATCGACCGATGCCTCCGTACTTTCAGCCAGCATAGCGCGCAGCGAATCTTCGGTGAGTGGTGGTGTACCACCAGCAGGCGCAGGAGGAGCAGCAGGAGCCATCTCCGCGGATTCAGAGACGACGGGGAGTGCTGCAGGAGCTACCGCAGGGAGTGAAGAGTCCGGGGCAGGAAGCGCCGAAGGACCAGTTGATGACGCCGCTGTCGGAGGAAGTGTAGCAGACTGAGCGACGTTCGAACCCTCGGCCTTGCCCTCCTGAGAAACAAGTCGAGTAATGCGAGGTGATGAGCAAGGTGCCGATGATTCAAGAGAAGGATGAGCTGACGTACCTCCAGCTGTTCACGTTCGCGACGTCTACGAGGATTGAGACGCTGAAAAGCGTCGGACACGGCTCGATTCAGACGCTTGGACATACGGTGGCGAGATGGTGAATTGAAGAATGAAGAAATGTCACAACGGGCACCAGTACCGTGGCTTCCATTGCGACAGGGGCAGTTGTGGTGTAGTGATTTCTCCGTAGTTGCGGATTATCACCCGTCGACAAAGACGTGACACCGCCCAAGTTGTTCAAGCGACGAACCCTCGGTCAGGTGATGTACGGAGACGCTAAGGTGCAAGGGACTCGACGGCGTCACCTCCGAGTTTTCAACAAGTATCGGATACGGCCCTATGTCACTGAATCCAGGCTGTCCTTATTATTAATAATGGACAGGCCGGATTCGCATTCAGCGGACCATCTACGGTACAAACCCTCAGTGGCGGTTGGGATGAGTTCGCGGAAGACTCACCGACCTTTGGAAGACACGTTCACCGTCTGGGACAGGGCGCGGACCGTTAAAGATGCTCATGCGACGGTGCAGACGACGCTTGGCATGCAAGAAGATCCATAACGGATCATTGCTCACTTGATATTTGTATACTTGATTAGGACTTCTTATTAGGAATAGACCCGAAAGGGTAAGCTTAAATACAGAACAGAATTTCCACTCAAGCACACAGAGCGACGTCCGGCTTCAAGGTAAGCGTCAGGTCAAGCTTGTTTGAGTGTGTTATGCCTGTCGGTGAACTCGAAGCTCTGTAGCGAGGGTTCATCCGGCAAGGCCAAGAGACTTTGTGTATTGGCCGATTATTATCGGGAGGTTTTACGTGACGGTTTATTGTTGCCTATTTGCACGACTGGGAGTGCTTGAATTGCCTCCCTTTTATTTCTTCCAGCCGAGTATTGAACACTCGGTAATCTCGTAAAAGGCTTACCCGTGCCTGGTACCCTTCCGCTGTTGGGACCACGAGGATTCAAAACACCTGCTAGCTTTGCTCGTGCTAGTAGCGTGTTCTTATTTTACTGGTTGGCATATATAAGTAGTTTACAAGGTCCAGTTTGTCCCGGTGCAAGGGCAGAACTGGGGTCTTCAGGTCCGCCCGAGCGATCGTTTACTATCCTAGTAGACGTATTGTTGTGGGAACATCCTAACTACATCTGTAGCTAGAGTTCACGTGGGATTTCCAACACCACAGGCCTGTATCCGACCAGAGCACACAGATCGTTCTGGCGCTGCTGCAGAGGCGTCAATTCTTGAAATGGTGGAAAGACTTCGTAAAATTTGGGGAGGAACGTTTCAAGCCAGCGCTGCACCATGGAAAAAGTGGGCGAATGAAATTGTGCGTAATTTAGATCGCTCAACATGGGAAAATGCCGTGTTGGACCCTCCAACAGCTAGGATAATGCCGATGCTCCAGGCAGCTGATGCGCAAGTTGAGCAGCATCTAGCAAACCTCACTATATCGGTTGATCTGGCTCTCGATATTGTTGATGCATCGCTTAAGGACAACGAACAGCTACACCACCACTGGGAAATGTTTGGGTTGCGTTTAGCAAATTAGAAGGGCGCACTTTAAGCGCGCAAAAGGACACTCAACGTATCTGCGCCAATATTCCTCTTCGCCCTATTTCGACTGTGATTGAACCGCTAGTTTCAATGGAGTACATGGAGGACATCGAACACTAAGAGTAGTACTTCAGCAAGTCATTGTATTAGGTTTCAAATCCTATAGTTTGCCTCGTAAAAAATTCTAAATAGTTATTGCTATCGATACGTTGAACATCTAAGCTCTCCTGTCTCGCGTCGTGTCGATTTTCTCTTGACAAGGGACCAGTCGGATCGGAATGGCCCTGCACTGTCCAGCCGCAGTGCTGAAAGACGTTCGCCATTTTGAACTTCTCGAAACGTGTAAACGTTTCAATCACAAACGGGGGTAGACCGCTATCACTTGACTCAGCATAATGCCTCTGAAATGTCTGCTTGATATAGCCGAACATAAACTCAGTAGGATTGAAGAATGGACAGTAGGCAGACAGGAAAATAGGAATCACTCCGATACTCCGGAGGAAGTGAATTATTTCTTGGTCTCGGTGAATCGAGGCGCCATGTAAAGTCCATACCGAATTGGTGCCAGGGTATTGGCGAACCTTTCCACGACTTGAATACGCAAAATCTCTGCAGCACGTGAAGAACTTGACACGATCGAATGTCCCGTCAGTGTTATAATAGTCAATGATCATCAACTCCCAAAAATGTCAGGACTGAAACGCTTGGTTTACGTTGGAAACCACCACGAATTACAATCTTGTGTCTTCTAAGTGAATAACCTCGCTTGCGGATCATTCCACGGCTTTCAAATGAAACTTCATCTAAAATACAATGTTTCGGTGGCACCAGTCGACAGAGCTGAGCTCTTCCACAAAGCGAAACACGGCTTCCTCTTCAATATGCATCGCTCTTCACTCAAGCACCTTGCGACTGAATCCACAATCCTGCAGTATTCTTTACACAGATGTCTTCGAAATGCTCATTTGATGAGACGCTTCCTGAGCCTCATCTAAACAGGCTAGCGACTGCATAGCGTAGAACTCACATAGCCATTTTCGATGTGCCTTTGTAAATGCTCGCGTTCAACTTGCATCATCCCGCTGGTAGGTCCCGGTTTTCTCGTAGACGTTGACCCAGCTCCCAATCGTCTTTGCCGACCTGTGATAGATTCGAGCAAGGTCCTTACGCGAATATACGAGGCAATAAAATCCGCAGAGGCAATGAGATGCAGTGCTGGGGTGGGCATGCCGGCTTGTTACCGCTTCCTCCATTGATACGAGAGAGTTATGACTAGGCTCTTTCTGTCCGACATTGGAAACAATAACATTAGCATAACGAAATTGAGATGGCACGCTTGTATAATACTAAACATCTCCACCAGGAAGACGCCGCTGCACCACCCTTGTATAATACCGCCAGACAAGACGTCGCTAAAGAAGTGCGAATGGAAACTTGCTTTTGCGAATTTGCTAAGCTGCTGTTTTGACCAATCAGATCCTCCTGTGGATTTGTTCGGCCAGTAGGCAATAAAGTGTAAATTTGGACGGAATTGACAATAATAGCAGCATTTTAGCAAAGTTAAGCTTAAAATCGAGCAGTTTAGGTAAATATTTGGATTTTGGGAGGACGGATGATGCAAATTTTAAAAGTTGGAGGTACTCTGTCGGACCAATTACTTGTACTTAATAATGATACTTCACATAAATAGGAGTAAACAAACGACACGAACCCTACTCTCTAGTGTGGAGCGTAATACCTCCCACTCTGTCCACATACTTAGCTCAAGTGAGAAACGTGTCTCATCGAAAATGAACACAATCAGCTTTTTATGCCTCGCATTCCGAATGATGAACAGCGGTTTCCAGGTGCTCGACGAAGCGGCGTCCACTCTGGCGTTGGAGCAAGCGCTGGCCTTCGCAGACGCATGCGACGTAGGGAGCGACGATGAGAGGACCGTGACAGGCGATCAGGAGCTAGAAGCGCTTCTGGACGACGTACAGACCAGCGACTTCTTCGCACCGGACACGTCGCTCGACCTCATGATGCAGATGCCCGACGCGCTCAAGCCACTGCAGACAGCACATCAACCTTTGGGCGAGTTCACAGGTCTCATGATAGGCACTGATGCCTCTGCCACCGAGTCCGACACGTCGCTTGAGAGCGCACTCGCCGTGCTCACGACCCATTGTGACGTCTCCACTAGCGACAGCAGTAGTGACGACGCTAAGAGCGGAAATAAAGGGGCACCTTCTATCGGATATCGAGCCAAGATGCCCAAGAAGATGAAGCGAGCACGTGCAGCGTCCCCTACAAGAACCGCCAAGGATTTTGCAGCCGCAAACGCAGCCATAGCGGCAGCGGCAGCGGGAGCTGACGGACAGCAGACGGACGTCAAGAAACCTACTAAGAAACGCATTCGCCGACAGAGAGAAGAGTTGCTGTATCTCCGTGTTAAGGTGCAGGAGATGGAAAGCAGTCTAGCAGAACTCAAGAGCAAGGAGGTGCGGAACAAGTCGCCAAATGGCAGCTCCACCCAGCTGGCAGTTAATGGCAAGAAGGCTCATCACTGCTCGCTTCGGTATGGGAGAGCTTGGCCAACCGACAATACAAGGACAGAGAACGTGCCGAGCAGGAGAACCGCAAGCTCAAGTCGACGCTGGAGGGACAGATCAAGCTGGCCAAATGTCTCGAGAAGATATTGGAAGACCAGCCGGAGGACGAGGTTTGTACTGAATTGTGGCTGCTTTATATTGCTGGATGTGTAACTCATACTTCTCTCTCCCTCTTTCAGACGATGACTGGACCGTCTCATCCCGCGCCGTCAAAGCTACTCGCTCTTGGTGTTAGCAGCGACCAGAAGGCCGTCCACGCGCAGCTTCTCTCCGAACTGGACGCCGCGTTCGATGAAGTCGACGTGAAATACAACATGAAGAAATTCGTCGAGATCGAAAATGAAAAACACGACGTCAGAGTTGCCTCAAGCTTGGACAACGGCATCGCGTTGCAGTTTATGGGCTTCAAGCGAGTGCCGTTCCCGCAACAAGTGGCTAGTCGAGGCATGTGGCGCTTCACATCGTACGAAGCGACCGAACGTCAAGCCTATTTCTACGAGGAGGTAAGCATACCTACGTGAGGACTGATTAGTGATCCAACTGTAACCTTCTTATCTGTTTAAACAGCACGAAACGTCGTCCAAGAACACCGTCGCTAGAACTTTCGGCCACAAGATTCAGAGCGAGAACGGTAGTCTCGACTACCGCTGCGAGAGCTTCTTGGAGTGTCGCAAGTGCGGTGACCGCGTGGTAATAGTGACACGAGGCTTGGCTAAGCCAATCAAGTTCTCTGCGGCGCCGGTGAATGGCATCCGGTTCCACGAGAACGGGTGGATTGTGATCGAGAAGGCGTCAGCCAAGGACGGGACGGCGAAGGGCAAATGGTCGACCATCGCATCATCGATGGAGCTCAAGCCGATCTTCGACGACGACGCCTCGGACCAGGACTTTACGGTTGGAGCGCTCACAGACTTTGTCATCGACTCATTCCACCGCAACATGCACCTAGGCGAGGAGGTCGTCGCGGCCATTATGATGGACGAAGCCCGGAAGGCAGCCACTCAACCAGCAGGATCCTGGCCGTGAAGCTGTCACAGTCTTGTGTACTTAACGTACTCGTGTAATAGATTTTTTTCTAGACCATGTCGCAGTCCGGAATGGATTTAGCAAGGAGCAACTTTATTTAGGGCGATGTCATGTGGTTGCCATCATCGATTGATCATGTCCCCTACGGCAGAAGTAATCTTTGCCACAAACATTCATTCCACCGCTTTAGGCTAAAGTTTAGCCGGTCGAAGGTTTTGATTTCGTGGCGTGTAAATCAGCCATGCGGAAAGTCTGACTCGCACATGGCGGTGCTCACCTTTATGGTCGCTGTTCGTCAGAAAATCCGGTCGAGGTGGCTAAACGTAGTGATCAGTGCAGCCGCCTTGATGATGTCCGTGACGCCTCTCACCTCCGTTTTTGATGGCCATCATCGGTGGCGATTGTTTCTAGAGAAAGCAGCCTTGCAATTGCTTCTGAAGTTTGTGGCGAGATGACGGACAATTATTTTTCGCGATCGTGGTCTTATTTTGAGGACACAAGCTGAAGCTAACTTCAATTCCGGGGGAACCACTGTTGCCCTTGCCCGTCGAGTCCGCGTGGCGGCCCCTGCAGCAGTCGTCTGAAGTTCTTCTTGGCCAACTGCCCTGTAGTAATCTCAGTGCAAATGCTAAAGCCGCACGATTTGCTGGGCAAATGACTATTTTCGAGTAAAATGCACCTTTATGAGTCGAGTTTTAACCTTGTCATCGCGTCTTCCTGGTGGAAGGCTTTTTTTAAACTTGTCACGCGTCGCATCTTTATTTGAAGAAGTATGCTGCAGTTCTTCGTCGCCGAACAAACGCCTTCACCAATGATAGCGATAGCGGTGCCAGGAAGCCGAAAATTGGGCACTTTTGTTGGATGTTCCGCCCCGCAAAGCGTTCGAAACGTTCAAGTCTGGGCGCAATCGGTCTAAAGCCGGGACATTAGACGCGTTGATTGTCTACGAACTGCTGGTTCTTGGCGTGCATGTTTCCGGCGTTTACGGGTCGGAGCGTGTTGACTGTCACTATGAGCGGCGTAAACGCCAGTCGTGGCTGGGGCGTTTGCGCACGCCTCGCCCGTCTACCGCGCCGGGTTTGAAAAGCTTGATCATTTCCGTTTTCACTCTAAAAGACAAAGCACCGCATTGAATGCCCCATGAGCTTCTCGTACGTCTCAGACGATCCGTCACGGCTTTCTGTTGATGATGTTCTTGGGCTCATTGACTGGAAGGAGCTCGAGACTGTGCTTTCCAGTCCCGACGACACCAGTCGGACTCCCATTCACGTCGATATGCCTATGGAAGTGGAGCCAGTAGTGATGGAACCTAACGCCACGCCTGCGCCACCTACGCGAACCCGTAAGCCCAGTCGCGCTAGTGCTGCAAAGGCGCATACTCCGACAGCGCAGCAATCGACTGCTGCACCGCCGACTGGACCGCCCGTCAAGAAGAAACGTATCCGCCGCGAAATCGTCGAGCTTAAGTTCTTGCGTGGTAAAGTCAAGGAGCTTGAGGAAGAGCTGCACAAGCTGCAGCTCGGATTCTCTACGTCGCCCCGGGCCGACGGTGAGCCTATTCCACTCGATGGACTCATGCCGTCTGTGTGGACTTCTATGGCGGGCCGTCAGCTTAAAGACCGTATGCGAGCCGAACGTGAAAACCAGGAGCTGCGGAATATGCTGCAAGACCAGCTCAAGATTGCTCAGGGTCTTGAAGACACGTTGAAACAACTACCGCCAAGCCAGGTAAGCGTCAACTACATTCAAAATGATGGCCTTTCAGTACTCCGGATCCTAACAATGGTCCACTGCTAATCGACGATAGGGTATTGACAACGCACCGGCGTCGTTACTTCCGCCAAACCTCTTTGGGCCGTCTAGCTCTGAAACCCTCGCAGAAAGTCTGACGCACTTGGAGCGTACCTATTTAAGTGTGGATGAGGCTTTCGCAGCGGAAGGCGTGGACAACCTCGAGATGGACAAACATGAGATCAAAGCCATCGTTCACCCGACATACGGCACGTGTATCCGCTTCACCACTCGGATCGCAATGCCCTTCAACTATGAGATCACGAGCCGCGCAATGTGGAGATTCATTACAGAAGAGGGACTCATCTCGCTTGCCAGCTCCTTCAACGTAAGTATCGACGTGTTGTCGGGCATGAATGAAGACATTTCTAACTGTATTGGGCAATGCCTTATCCAGAAAATCTACACAACCAAGGACATTCAAGCGCACTGCTTTGCCATCCGCTTACCGGACTCCGAACCCGCTAAAGACTATTGGCTGAACCAGGTCGTCCGGAAGCATCTCGAGGCAGACCGAATGGTTGTTGTGGGGCGGTCCACCGTCCACCCATACGTGAAAGACAACAGTCATCCAACTGGTGTTTCGTTTATTGATGACGCACGACTCACAGTGAGTGACTGCAGCAGCAACGGTGTCCCGCAGTCTTGTGTCAAGGTCTGCGTATATTTGGTACCGGACTTTGGGTCGAGCAGCTCCAGTGATACCGTGGGGATCAATGAGTTACTGGACTTCTTCATAAAATCTGCTGGTCCCGTGATCCTCCGGTGTCGGGAGATGATCATGACGATGCTACAGCAAGAAGCAGAGGCGATCAAACAGACCGCTGTGCGGCTGTGAAACTGTGCGAATTTTATGTAAAATGTAAATTGGTATCAAATCGTAGCACAAATTACAAATAGGACACCAACAAATTACACAGAAGCGCATGCAGCTGACCATGCCTTCCTATCACTATAACGCGCGGAGGAGTCTCAACTCGACGCATCTAGAGATATAAAAGATGCCGCGAAATAGCCAAACGACTGGCCTGATAACTGTCAAAATTTCGGAGTGGAATACGGGTACTCGTCATTGCTTAGGCCCTGGTTTAAGTGAGTTTAAAACTAGGGAACAGTGTTAGCCCAGAACGAATTGTGGTCAAACTAGTTAAACTAGGTTAGACTGCTGCACGAATCGGTCTGGTCAGAACAAATACTGAGCAATAAGATTTTGAAGCTGTGCTGGATGAAGCCGAAGCAGAGACTTCATTGTTAAAACTACCTTCTTTACAACCTGACAAGAACGACCATGGAAGCCTTCGCATCGTGCTTTAAGTCTACGCCAATGGGTTAACCCACCAAATCGACGACGATAACTGGAAAGAGCAGTAAAGGTCGCCCACATACACTGCATGACGTACAAAAGTGCTACTTTGGACTTGGTCACCATGGCTACTTCGTTGGTTTTACAGTAATACGCGAAATAGAGTGTGATTTGAAGACAGATCAATGATGGTATAGACTGCAATCTGTTCTCACGTTAGAACACCTCTGCCAGGCGTTTTGGGGTTACTATTGTGAACGGCAAAAATACTGAAAGTCGTTCCTGCCGAGTTCTCGTGTAGCTGGTCACCGGTTCGATCCCGGCGTCAACTCCAGTTTTCTTCTTAATCATCATGGCGAGCGCCTCCGTGTACCCGCGGAAGCTGGTCGCCTTCTTCACCGCGGGTATCAGCACCCGGCTCACTCACGCTTCGGAACGTGAGTGTCTTCTCGTATTCGTTCACGATATCGGGAACGTCTTCCCGCAAGCGACTGCGCGGCTCCCAAGTATCTTCACCTGGGGAGAGTCCCAGCCAACGCACGCGATAGTGTTGTTCCTTGTCCCACAGGGCGCGACCCTGTGGAAACGCTTCAGTGTGACCGTCACGGGTACCATGACACTGGCGAAAGTCGTGGTCGACGATTCGCTCAATGATCAAACGCTGAGCGCCCGAAGAGTCGATCAAAGGAGGAGGACCATCTCGCTGAAAAGCTGCCGCGTCACTCGAGGACAAATCAGCGTCCGGGATCTCGGACGGATGGTATTTCTTTAAACGTCCGACGTATAACGTCGGATGTAGCCGTAGTGTCGAAGGAATATCCAGCGTGTAAGCGTCACCAATGGTCTTGATCACCGTAAACGGCCCAATAAAGCGCGGCGCGAGGTTGGTAACCGCAGAGTTTCTGATACCTTCAGTCGACAGGAGCACTCGTTCGCCTGTCGTAAACGTGGCTGTGTTCTTGCGGCCAGCCTTATCAGCGTTCTCCTTCTGCTTGTCCACTGCGTTCTGCAGTGCGTCGAACATAGGGGGTGACCGCTTGGCGCTGTAGTACGAAGTCGGAGACGACTGCGGAGTCGATTGGTCGCGCCGCATGCTTCGGCGCGTAGTTAGCCGGTGCAAGTGGGCTCGATGCGGAACGTGTCACTGCGTTGACCGATGTGGGGACTGGGGATACACTCGAGATATCATTAGCAACCGGTGTGTGTACCGGTTGACCCAGTACCGGTGTTGCCGCCGGAGACATCGGAGCTGGAGTAGACGGCTTGTCGGCAGCTTCTTCCCCACCCAGAGTGGAGACACACGGCGCTGTGGAATGGCCCACGGCGAGAAGAGCAGGGACACGCGGGTGTCGCGCGTTGTTAATGAAGAAGGGCGTCAGCCCAGTCGACGCGTGTACCGCGTTGTTCAGCGCGAACTCGGTCAGAGGCAGAAACGAGCTCCAGCTAGAGAACGACGTCGCGTAGCTTCGAAGGACGTCTTCGAGGACGCGATTTACGCGCTCCGTCTGGCCGTCCGTTTCCGGATGGGCTGCTGTGGACATCAACAGCTTCGAGCCCAGTAGCTCGAAGAGCTTCGACCAGAAGGCCGACGTGAAGCGCGGGTCGTGGTCGGAGACGATGGATTCAGGAAGGCCATGATGGCGGAAGACCGCATCGATGAGGTGCACCGCGGTATCTGCCGCGGTGATCGAATCCGACACCGGAATCAGGTGGACCATCTTGCTGAAGCGGTCTACGAACACCAAGACACCTGAGCGGCCTTTAGCATCGGGTGGGAGCCCGAAAATGAAGTCCATCGACACCGAGCGCCAGGCCTCGGTGGCCACCGGTAGAGGACGCAGGGGAGCTTGCGAAGACGAGGCAGGTTTCACGCGCTGGCAGATCTCGCAGGTGCGCACCCACTTACGTACTCATTTGTACAGGTGGGGCCAATAAAAGTCGCGTGACACAGCGGCAAATGTCTTCTCGCGACCGAGATGAGCACCCAGCGGGGCATCATGAAACTCATGGATAATCCGTGAGCGCAGATCGGGGTCGTTAGGAACAACGATACGTGGGGAATCGAAGTTGTCGATGCTGTACGTCAGCAGCTCGTCCTCGAGACGATATCGGTGGATTTTGTTTCGTACAGAGCGGGAAAGGGCTCCCAGTGTATCGGCGCTGGAAGGGCGGAGATGCTCCAGGATACTGGAGCACATCGAGTCATGGTCGTAAGCAGCTCGGATCTCGTCGCGAAGTGGCATTACCGGGGAAATGCTCATCAGGTTGACGCCTGACGCCTCGCACGTGGCACACTCGTCTACATCGTCTTCATCCAGCGAAGCTTGTCGACCCAATGCACCGCGTGGGTCGTAGTCGGGACGCCGAGACAAAGCGTCGGCGAGAATGTTGTTCTTGCCGGGTTTGTAGTGGACAACGAAGTTGTACTCAGAGAAGAATGAAAGCCAGCGGGCCATCCGCTGGGAGAGATGAGGACTCTTCAGCGATGCATGGTCGGTGTACACCGCGAAGGTATCCTCACCCGACAAGTACACTCTGAACTTGATCAGAGCGTCGCGCATCGCAAGGAGCTCCTTGCCGTGAGCAGGGTAGTTGCGCTCCGCCGGCTTCATCTACCTGGACTGGTAGCTTACGACACGCTCTCGACCTTCTTCATCGAATTGCATCAGCGCACAGCCGATGGAAAAATCACTTGCGTCGCAGACGACGTGAAAATGCTTCGAGTCATCCGGGAGCGCGAGGATTGGGGCCTCGGCGAGACTCTTCTTCACCGAGTCGAAGGCGGCTTGATGTGCGGAGGTCCACGACCACGACACATCTTTCTTCAACAACGAAGAGAGCGGCTGGATCAATCCGGCGTAATTCTTCGTGTACTTGTAGAGATAATTTGCGAGACCCAGCCACTGACGCAGTTCAGTGGGATTCTGTGGAGTAGGCCACGCACATATCGACGACACTTTCTCGGGGTCGGCGCGGACGCCGTTCTTGCTCACAAAGCAGCCAAGCACCGGAATCTCCGGCGCGCAGAATACACACTTCTTCAAGTTGGCATACAGCTTGTTTTCGCGCATCACTTGGAAGACTTGCCTTAGATGCTTCAAGTGGACTTCAAGCGCGCTGAAGCCTCCCTCAGCGCGACTGTGTACGAAGATGTCATCGAAATAACTCGGTGCGAAATCGCGGAGCGGGCGCAGCGCATGGGATACCATGCGAATGAACGTGGTGGGAGCATTCTTGAAGCCTTGTGGCATAACAAACCACTCCCAGAGCATACCACTGGAGGTGCTTACCGCTGTGAGCGGTATATCGCTCAGCCTCATGAGGATTTGGTAGGACCCATCGGTCAAGTCGACGGCGCTGAAGACCTCACTACCCGACATTGCGTCGAGCACCATGTCCTTCCGAGGAATCGGCGTCTGGGCAGGGATGGTAGCGTCGTTCAGCTTGTTGAAGGCATGGACGGTGTGCCATCCGCCCCTGGCTTTCTTCACACAGAAGGTCGGACTGGAGTGCGACGATGTGCTCTCACGCACATGACCCGCCTTGCGGCGGCTCTTGAAGAAGTCATCGATAGCTTGGACCTGATCTCGCGGGAGCGGCCACTGCCGCGTCACACAATACTTCGAGCCGGGCACGAGATCGATCTCGTGGCGAATTCCTCGGTCAGCTGGCAACTCAGCTGGGATCTTATCCGGAAAGCCATCTTCATATTCGCGGGCGGACTCGTAGACTGGATTGCCGGATTCGCGTAGCGCTTCCCAAGATTGCGCTGCGAAGCGCTCCTCGCGGGCCGACTTCGGCTCAGCGCTCTTTGGGCGCGAGGGAGCGTCGCCGTCACTGACTGCATTCACTTCGAGCGACGCCGAATCGGCGTCGGTGATCAGGCAAACCTGTTCGATTTCATCGTCCTTGAGGCTGCGAAGGAAGTTCTTCCAGGAAAGACCTGGAAGTCGCGTGATCGACCCTGCCTCGCTAGGTGGGTTTGCAAGCTCGAGTGTTCGTCGGCGACCGGGAGTACCTTTCACGTACTCAAGCACGCAGACCGACTCCGTCGGTGAGCTGTCACTTGGCACGGGCTCTCGGCGAGGTTTCAGCCGACGCCGCTTCGACTTCCGCCGCCTCGAGTGCGAGCTCGAGGATGATGAGTCGCTCTCGCTGGACGAGAGGTCACCCCCTCTAGCGGGAGCCCCTGCTCGACCGCGGTAGTGTTCAGCGGGAGCGCCAACTGCTCGACCACCGGCTCAATTGACGGGAGTCCCTGCTCGACCGCCATCTCGTTCGTTTGCGGGAGCCCCTGCTCGACCGCGATCTCGTTCGTCTGCGGGACCCCTGCTCGACCGCCATCTCATTCGTCTGCGGGACCCCTGCTCGACCGCCATATCATTCGTCTGCGGGGGCCCCTGCTCGACCGCCATCTCGTTCGTCTGCGGGACCCCTGCTCGACCGCCATATCATTCGTCTGCGGGGGCCCCTGCTCGACCGCCATCTCGTTCGTCTGCGGGAGCCCCTGCTCGACCGCCGTCTCGTACATCTGC